GTGGTCGATTGTCGAAAATGCTAAATTACGTTCTGCTAAGAAGGAGCATAGCATTATTTCAGCCTTTTTTGCGTTCAATACATTTTCAATGAAGTCTTAAAAAAGTCGCCTACTTTTTTCTGACTTTTTATGCTGCTATAGTTTTTTTGGTGCTTTTGCGAGCGTGCGTGTTTCAATAGATCAGATCTTCCTGATTTTCCTTTTAATGTGCACTCGCAAACATTGCAATAAGCCTCGTAACCTCAAGTGTTTACAAAACCAGCCTTTGAACGCGGGATCCTTAGTCCAATAGTCCAAAAAAAATGACCGTTCGCTTGGTATGCATCGTATTTGAGTCATTTGTGTCCAAAGGACAAATATCTTTTGAAGAAGCTGTGGCAAAAAACAAAGCTTGTTGCGATTTATTAAGAAAATAATTCAAATCACTTCTACTGACAAGATTTAGTAACCGAGAAAAATTACTGGGAAGTTGAAAAACGTAATTTCTTGCACAAAAAACGTCCAAATGACGTTAAAAACGGCAACCTGGCAACGCTGGTTGTATGTTCCTTACGATTTTATACATACATACTGTAAACGTGTTAGGGTCTGATTATGCATACTTCGCATAACTTCGCACAACCATTTGTACCAGTGCACTAAGGGTCTGATTACGCATACTTCGCATAACTTCGCACAACCATTTGTACCAGTCCAATAAAAATGTAACTTAAGAAAATGTGAAGTGAAATCTAAACTCAACAGATCGCTAAGTTTTTAAAAGTTCTGCTAATTTCTGGGTAATGGAATACATGCAAATTAGATACAAAGTACATACGAAAATACAGTTTGAAGTTTATGCGAAGTTATGCGAAGTATGCATAATCAGACGATTAAGGCTGTTAACTTATCTATTAACGATTTAACTATAGTTTTGAATAGATAAGTTTACTGCCCTTAATATGCTTAATTTGTTAAATGGCCCATCAATTCGATGGACCGTGTATGTTCTTGGGTGTGATTGTACCAGCTGCTGGTGCGACTTCAAAAACTATTTGAAAATTTTATGATTGTACCAGCATGCTGGTGTCGTGAGTGGTGAAATTAGCTTAATTTTCTAAGTAAAAAGTATTTTGACGGAAATTTCTTGCTGTGTCTGTGGAAGATTAAGTTCCCGATATTGTAGTTGTGAATTAAAAAAAAAACACCAATGTTTAACAAAATGGTAGAAAAATTACGAAATTTCGGCTGTAATCATTTCTCTAATCTTTCCTCGACCTCATTTGTATCGAAATAAATATTAGTGGAATTCGCGCTTCTGTGTATTCGTTGTATCTTGTGTAATTGTAACTGAAGGAGCATCTAATTTGTTGTTGCTAGCGGTACAATAAATACACATGAAACAACAATCACACGCTCGTCCAGTTACACTTACGCAAGATACAACGAATACACAGAAGCGCGAATTCCACTATTGTACCAGCATGCTGGTAAGTTATATGTTTTGGGCCTGATGGTACAATCACTTGATGGAACCAGCAACCTGGTGCCGTATATTTCCCCTTTTATACAAAAAGGTTTTTGGTTGGATAAAATATTTGCTTTTTTCCAGAGTTCACTGTTTTTTATACCATTACTTATTGAAAATCTTTGCGTGTATACTTAAAGATGTATATATAAGTAAAAAATTTTAGCTACCATTTTTAGCCACAACGACATTTTTTAGCTCTTTTTTAGCCCTTTTTTTTAAAGGAATTTGGCTACCACTAAAAATTATTCGCGGCAACACTGGTGCCAACATACTTGATTATTGCTTATTATTACTCTGAGACAGGCATGTGAGAGAGTGAGCGGGCAGAGCTGGGTCGTAATGATTATTTAGGAATTAAATTACTCCCAATTATTAATTAGGAATCAATTAGTAGAATTAGTAATTAGGAATCAATTCCTTCAGTCCACAGCAAAGGAATCGATTACTTTCTCAATTCCTTGAAGTAATTTCAAATGTAATTGTTTTTTTTTTATTCCATTACAAGGAATTTCATTTTGTAATTGGAATAAATTACGTGCTAGTAATGTAATTTTTTTTTTTCCAATTCCTTTGAAAGGAATTGAAAATGTAATTGATTTTTTTAAATTCCATTACCTGGAATTGCAATTGTACTTTAGTTTTTTCAATTACTCAAAGGAATTGTAAAAGTAATCGAGAAACTGAAAGCTCATTCACGAATGTACAATGTGGAGTTTTTGTTGTGGTCAATAATTAAAATCGAAAGCATACATTGGACATCTTCTATGTATATCTATATATATAAAAATGTTGTGTTCGTATGTCACGGTCATCAAAACCCGAGAACGGCTGAACCGATTTGAATAATTTTTTTTTATAATTCGGTATAATACCAGAACCAAGGATATCGCAAAAATTTGGAGGGTTGCCGCCTATTTTAAAATTTTTAAACACAATTATATTGATAAAATTAATGAATTATTACAATCCGGGTATCAAGTAAAAGAGGTTTAAGAAAGATAACTGTTGGAAGTATTTTTGATGAGGGTTGCCACCTATTTGAAAATTTTAACTCAGTCTAATTGATAAAATAAATGAAATATTGCCATGTGGGTGTCAAACTAAAGAGTTTTAAGAAGGCTTACTGCCGAAAATATGTTTGAGGAGGGTTGCCATCTGTTTGAAAATTTAACTAAATTACATTGATAAAATAAATTAAATATTACAATATGGGTGTTCAGAGCGCTAATGCATAACTCAGTGGCATCACTTACTACATTTTTTTGATATTGCACACGGCAAACCTGTTACATATATAAGTTGTAGCAAAGATGTAAATAAGACACAATCGCATTTATAGGGTCTACAAGATAACACCACTTTAGTTTTTTATTTCATTTGATTAGCTATACGTTTGAGCGCAAAAACCCTTGCCCGACTACATACATTTTTTGGTGACCCCGACGTGATACATAAGCACGACTACTTGCTTGCGTTTGTACACAGTTTTGATTGCTCTGTACATAGGCACCGTGCGCTAATCACCAGATTTAACAGTTAACTTTGCGCAGTTGATGATAAACAATATTCGCCTTTTGCCGTGCAAAAGCCCAACGAGAATATATAAATCACGCGATTCAACAGTTAAATTGGCTGTACACATTTTTCGTTGTTTGCCAAGCAAACAGTTATTAACAAAAGGTCTAGCAGTCAATTTCTTCGACTATACACAATCGGTCAAATAGTTTAAAAAAATGTCGTTTTTAAAAAAGAAAGGCGAAACCTTGCTACGGCAATTTAGTTTAACACCATTTAATTCAGAGGAAGTCAGCGTCATGGATCACGCTGAGCTATCAGTGAGATTGGAGCAGCTGGATCGCATTCAGGATCAGTTTGAATCAACACAATCTCAACTGGAGGAAGAAGACCCCAACGAGCTGGAAACCAGCACTCGTGATGAATTCGCTGCCACTTTCATACGAGCTAAGGCAGCACTTACAAGGGAGTTGAATAAGATGGACCCCCAGTTTATGTCTTCGACGAGGAATCCACCGCCTCTAGAGCAGTCATCTGTGATTGTGGTGAAGCAACCAAAGTCGCGCCTACCGCAACTACAATTGCCATCATTTGGAGGGGCATACACAGAGTGGCCAAACTTTTTGGGCATGTTTCAAACGGTTGTTTACAATGACACCGAGCTGTCAAACCTGGAAAAGTTCCAGCACCTCCGTTCATGCCTGAAGGGCGCAGCAATGGACACCATCCAGTCGCTTGAAATTCGTGATGAAAATTATATAATTGCATTAGATTTACTCGTTCAAAGATTCGATAATCGCCGTTTAATTTTTCAGGCACTCATTCAAGAACTATTCGGATTGCAGAGGGTGAGCGCTGACAAGAAATCAGGAGAACTGCGGGTGCTTGTGGACAAAGTTGTAATGCATGTTCGAGCGTTGCAATCACTAGGCACCTCTGAACAAATTGCCGATTGTTTACTCCAATACATCAGAGCTCAGAAATTGGATGCTCTCACTCATACACTGTGGGAAGAAAAAGTGCCGGCTGACAAGCTGCCCACTTGGACGGACATGGTTACGTTTTTGCATAGGAGGTGCCAGACTTTGGAGAATATGACTCACGATATCGTAACACAGACACCTAGCGCACAGGTGAGCAATAACAAGTTTCGTAAAACCTCCTTTATCATTTCAAAGGCTACTCAAAAAACCTGTTCGGTCTGTAATAAGCACGACCACGTCGTCTATTCTTGCCCATCGTTCGCCAATTTAAGCCCAAATGACCGCTGGAAGGAATCCAAAAGAGCTCAGCTGTGCATAAATTGCCTTAAACCAGGCCATCACGTGCAGCAAACCAAGTCTTCTGCATGCCGCCGGTGCTCATTGAAGCACCACACGCTACTGCACTTTCCTCAAACAGATCAGACAATGCCTAGTGCAGCTGAAGTCTCACCTATTCCACCACAGCCAGCAGCTCTCGTTGCCATGACAACAAGCAGCGACTCACTCTCATCCACTTCACACGCCGGCTCAAACGAATGTGTGCTACTTGCGACTACCGTTGTCTTAATTTAGAACAGCGCGGGCTCGCTGCCAATCAATTACAGCTTAAAAAATCAAAATCGTCTGTCGCAGTTTCGGGTATTGGAGATTCAGAACTCGTTGTTAATTCCAGCATTAATATCACCATTCAGTCACTACACAACGGATTCACCGCGAACCTAGACTCGGCCGTAACTCAAACAATAACCGAGCATCAACCGAATTATCCGCTTGACATCACTGGTTGGGATATTCCGGCGAACATCAACCTGGCTGATCCCGAATTCCACAGGACACAACGTGTGGATCTTTTGATAATGCCGGCATATTCTTTAATTTACTTTGCATTGGTCAAATTCGCCTGAAAAACAATCATATTTTGCAGAAAACTCGTATTGGCTGGGTGGTATCTGGAGGTCGAGGTATATCGTCGAAGCCATCCGCACTTACAACTACAGCAACAAATTCACTTGATTGGGAAATAGATCATCGATGCACTCATGACATAGTGCGGTCATTTTGGGAAGTAGACAACAGCTTTGAACCTATTCGGAGAGTAACAAAGGAGGAAATCGATTGCGAAGCTCACTTCAATGAAAACTATAGTCGCATGGCGACAGGCGAATATTCGGTTCGGCTGCCCGTAAAGCCCAGCATACACCTACTTTGGGGATTCATACCAGCAGGCGTTGCGGCGGTTCCTGACTCTGGAAAGACGTCTTCAACGTAATGATGATTAGAAATCACTGTACGTATCGTTTATGAAGGAGTATCGCGAGCTTCAACACATGTCTCCTATATCGAAGCCGCCGCCATCGGTGCCCACATATTTCATGCCTCATCATTGCGTGTTCAAGAACGAAAGCACAACAACAAAATTTAGGGTAGTCTTCGACGGATCAGCACTGACAACAACTGGTTATTCGTTAAACGAAGTATTGATGATGGGTCCAACCATACAGGCAAAACTAGCCGACACCCTAATTCGTTTTCGCCCACATTCGGTTGCCCTAACAGGGGACATTTGTAAAATGTATCGGTGCATCCGAGTCACCGCACTTGACAATTTGCAGTGCATACTCTGGAGAGATGATCCGAGAGATGACACCCAAATTTTCAAACTCCACACGGTTACGTACGGGACAAAATCTGCACCCTTCTTGGCAGTTCGCACCATGCATCAGCTTGCGGCCGATGAAGCAGCTTCGTATCCTCTCGGCGCTCGGATTGTTCTACGCGATTTCTACGTTGATGACCTAATTACCGGCGCTGACACTATTGACGAAGTAAAACAAATAATGCATCAAACATCTGAACTGCTGGGTAGGGGAAACTTTAAAATTAGGAAATGGTGTTCAAATATGCAAGAAGTGCTTAGAAATGTACCGGATACTGACCGGGAGAAGCTCATAAAATTCGATGATGACAGTTACATTACAAAGACGCTTGGACTCCAGTGGAACCCCGATGCTGACCTATTCATATTTTCATTTTCTGCTCGACAGGTGAATAAAACAATTACTAAGCGCTCAGTTTTGTCTATCATAGCTCAATTGTATGATCCACTGGGATTGGTAGGACCCATCGTATGCAAAGCAAAGGTATTCCTTCAACGATTGTGGGTAGATAAGCTCGATTGGGACGAAAGTCTACCAATGGCTCATCAAACAGCGTGGCTTCAGCTCTATGGAGAATTCGGTAGCATACGAAAACTGGCTTTTCCTCGATACGTGGCCAGCCCGAATGCCCGTCTGGAGGTACATGCATTCTGTGACGCCAGCATTACAGCGTACGGCGCATGTGTTTATATTGTCGCTCGTTCAGATGAACAATTAAAAACAGTCACAATCCCCAAGTTGGAGTTATGTGCCGCTACGCTTCTGGCCGAAGTAGTTCATTCTATTGACGATTTAAAAATTTTCAGTTGTCCATTCTTTTGTTGGTCAGACTCTACAACAGTGTTGTCGTGGATTAAAGAGGAGCCTTCAAGCTTTAATGTTTTCGTCGCCAATCGCATTTCGAGCATACAGCATTTAACAAGCGGCATGGAGTGGCGCTATGTGCCTACCAATCTTCACCCTGCAGACATTTTATCAAGAGGTGCTTCCCGCATAGAGTTATCGAACTCATTGCTTTGGACCATCGGACCCCCATTTCTGCAGGAATCAGAAAGAAATTGGCCAAAGTGTGGTGCTCGAATTGAAATGTTGCCTGAACGTCGTAAAATTGCATTACTTTCTTCGGCTTCAGTTAATGATAATTCACTGAATTGTAAATATATAAATTCCTTTGCAGTCATGCAGCGCATATATGGCTACGTTCACATGTTCATCAAAAAGGATCACTCTGGTGTCCTCACTGCGACACACATTCAACAAGGAACGTGGTATTTGCTTCGGATGTTGCAAAAGGTACATTTTTCGTCGGAATACAGAGATCTGAAAAAGTCTCTGCCGATAAGCCCGTCAAGTGCACTGGCATCCCTGTCCCCATTTTTGGACTCATTTGGACTAATCCGTGTAGGGGGTCGTTTAAGAAACGCGTTGTTAAATTTTCAATCGCGACATCCAGTCGTGATACCCAAAGGACATCCACTTACGAACTCTATCATATTGCATTTTCACCATCAGAATTTACATGCCGGACCTCAAGCATTACTGGCGGCAATACGACAAAGGTACTGGCCCCTCGGCGGAAAGAAGGCAGTTAGTCACATCATAAATAAGTGCGTACGATGTTTTAGACTCAGGCCCAAGGTGTGCGAGCAGATCATGGGAAACTTGTCAGAAGACCGTGTCCGACCCAGCCGACCGTTTCTCGTTACTGGAGTTGATTATTGCGGGCCGTTCCACTACCGATCTGAAATAAGAAGCAGGCCATCAACAAAATGTTACACAAGCCTTTTCATATGCTTCACTACGAAAGCGGTTCATATGGAACTCGTGAAGGATCTGTCGGCAGAATCATTTCTAGCGGCACTGCGTCGTTTTTATTGCACTCGCGGCAAACCGGCAGCTATCTGGTCTGATAACGCAACCAATTTTGTTGGAGAAAAAAATGAGATGGCTGAATTACAACAGCATTTTCTCAAGCAGCAACACGTCGAAGCCGTTCATCGGCAATGTCTCATCAAAGGAATCGATTGGAAGTTCATTCCGCCAAGGTCTCCGCACTTCAGAGGGCTTTGGAAGCCTCAATCAAGGCAGCGAAATTCCATTTCTGGCGAACTATTGGTTCGGCATTGCTTTCCTTTGATGAACTCAGAACTCTCATATGTCAGATTTCAGCAGTAATTAATTCTCGACCACTTTGTCCACTTACAGAAAATCCTGACGACTTAGACGTGCTCACACCGGCCCACTTCTTAATAGGCGCTCCACTTACATCCATACCAGAACCAAACCTCTCAACACTAAGCATCAGTCGACTTGGTCATTGGCAGCAAATTCAGTTCATGCAACAGACTTTCTGGAGAAGATGGAGTTCTGAATATCTGTCACTTTTGCAACAACGTTCGCGTTGGCGATCCACAAAAAACAATATCGCAATAGGAACTCTGGTCCTAATCAAGGACGAAGCACAGCCACCACTCAAGTGGCTGCTTGGAAGAGTCACTCAGGTCTTCAAGGGCGATGATGGTATGGTTCGTGTGGTCGAAGTCAGAACGGAAAATGGCATTTGCAAGCGAGCCATCACTAAATTGTGCGCTCTTCCCATCGATGACAATTTGGCTGGTGGTATGACCTGCCACCGGGGGAGGATGTTCAGAGCGCTAATGCATAACTCAGTGGCATCACTTACTACATTTTTTTGATGTTGCACACGGCAAACCTGTTACATATATAAGTTGTAGCAAAGATGTAAATAAGACACAATCGCATTTATAGCGTCTACAAGACAACACCACTTTAGTTTTTTATTTTATTTTGTTAATCTTCGCTATACGTTTGAGCGCAAAAACTCTTGCGCGACTACATACAATGGGTATCAAATTAAAGTGGTTTAAGAAAGATAACTGATGGAAATATTTTTGAGGGGGGCTGCCGCCTATTTGGAAATTGAAACTCAGTTAAATTGATAAAGTAAATGAAATGTTGGCATGTGGGTGTCAAACGAAAGAGTTTTAAAAAGGCTTACAGTCTACCATGAAGGTGACAGGTAATAAGGTCAATGGAAATAAGGTCAATTGACTTTATTTCCCACCCTGGTGCGAAATTAAGTCAATTGACTTTATTACCTTTTCAAAAGCGAAATAAAGTCGACAAACATTTGAAACTAAAGTCATTGACGCTATTTCCTCATTCAAATGGAAATAGCGTCAACAATGCTTAAGGTATGTCGATTCATAGAAAAAAATGTTGTTCTTACAATAAACATTGCCCCGTAAGTGTTGTTTTTAATAGATCAAAAAGGTTATTGCCAAATCCTCAGTGTTGTGATATTAATCCACACACAATCATGAACTACCACCAATTGCTTTTATTAAAAAAATTTAAATAACGAATATGTAAAAACACGATGCGAAAAACTAAACACCTGCGCACAGCTGAAATACGAGAAACATTTGAAGAAAGAGTATAGAAATGATCTATAACTTGCAAAACATGTTTCGTTTCCACAAAAATAAAGCGAACACTATTAAATTGATGAAACAGTCCATGTCCAAAAACCCCGGGGGAACACTGAAAGAATTCTGTGTTTTAAATTAGCATATTTTGAACGAATTCGGAATGTCTAAGTTGGAAAAGAAACCAACCTTTCTATAAGGAAACAATTATAGAGAAAGAATTTTCTTACACTGTATTCATGTCTCCGCCAGCAATTTGTGACGACATCATTTAAAAGCAGCTAAGGAGAATGACGAAACTATTTATTAGATGGCACATTCAACGAGCCAATGTACCAAAATGCGGGTATAAACAATTATTGATTATTTAATATCGGAATCGGGATCATATAAGTTAATTGATTGGTTTTCACACACTTTTGAAACACAAATTTTATGCTTTTTTACTGCAGACAAATTGTTGCCCAAACCACAGCAGAAATCTTCCAATCAGGGCTGGCAACTATCCTTAGTTATCAGGTGCCATATTGAGGATAAAAAAAGTGCCAAAATGTGCCAAATAGAAAAATAAAAGTGCCAAAAAAGGTGTCATTCCTTTTAATCATTCACATTTAGCAATAAAATAAAGCCACATTTTCAAAACAAAAGTGCAATGATAAAATAAGATAAACCAGTTGAAAAGCCTTTATAAATTAGAAAATTTTAGTTGAGAAAAAGAAGTGCACGCAAAGGATTTCACAAAAATGTATTGAAATGTAATTTTTTTTTTACAAAATTGTCATTTTGGCTCTTTGTACCAAATTAAAAAATTAAGTGCCATTTGATGTAAAATAGGGACAAATGGCACGGTTTGAGCCAAGTTGGCATCCCTGCTTCCAATAACTTACAAATATAAAAATGTGAAATATCGAGGGCTTGAATTCATTAATACCCTCTATCTGCAATTTGCACAAAAACTAATTTGTGATTTTAGAAACC